AACGGGACGGGATTAATAACATTTCAAATCGGAGCCGCCGGCCTGTAGACAGTTCCCTGGTGAATTCCACCAAACAGCTGCGGTCACTCCCATTCTCTGCGATTGCTCCTGGAGGTAGAACTGAGGGGCTGTTTCCCGACTCACCCACCGAAGCCAGCACCACCCTCACACCAGGTCCAGGCAGAGTCGGTCCAAGAAAGTGAGGGAGGCCTCCCTCGCTCACGAACACAGACGTCAAAGTCCTCGACAAAATGAGGAATCCAATGCCGTGTCAGTCGATTACTGTCCCGACCAAGTGGGTTTAGCTCAGGCAGGCCAGGCCGGCTCCACCTCCCGACTCACATCCGCCACCGACAGTCCCGCTCAGACTCGGGGCACGTGGCACACTTGGCCACGATGACGGGTGCAGAGGCCGAGGGTGGGAGGGGGCAGTCGGACCACCTCTGCAGCGCCGCACAGCCCCTCGTGGTGCCGTCCGCCCGGCCGGGGCTTCTTGCCTCTGGGACACGTCCCGGCTGTGGAGCGGGCTGAACTCTGACCCCTTCCCACCCTCAGAGCACAGCCCTTCGGTGTCCAGTTTAAGGTGGGGGGGCCTTCCGTACACCCCCACTTGGGCAGGTCTGGCCCGACGTTTGTCCCCTGACTCCCTGAGGTCACTCAGACCACATCCTGGCCATCCGGCCCCACCCAGGGCGCTCAGGGTCCCGGGGGGCTGCGCTGGGCAGCAGGAGTCGAGGCTGCAAGGACAGCAGTGGGCTGCCCCTCAGGTCACGTGCCCTGAACGCGGCCACCTGCTGGGCCTGAGGAGCTGCCGCTGGCTGCGTCCTGCAGGGGGCGCTCAGCCTGGACGAGGCCCTGCGGAAGCTGCAGCTCGTCCTGGGCTTCCAGCTCAGAGAGGGACAAGGTGAGCCGCGCCCCTGGTGGCGCCCAGGCGGGGAGGGGGCGGTGTGAGCGGACTGCACTGTGGGCCCGGGTGCCGAGCCCGGGCGGGGTGTCCAGCCCCCCAGGTCTTACTGCAGCCGGAGCCCGGGGCCTGGGGCAGGCAGCGTGGGGAGGAGGGACGAGAGGCGGCTGTCTGTCCGTCTGTCCACAAGGGTGCTGCTCGGTGCAGGGCCCTGACCTGGCGCTCGCGGCCTCACCTGGGGTCTGCATCACGAAGGCCTCCCCGCGTTGTGGCGATGGCGAGGTCCCCCGTGTGGCTTTGCTCTGCGCGGCGCACTGCCCCCCGGAGGGAGGGCAGCCCCAACAGGCCCACAGGCAGGCGCTCCGTCCTCCAGCCCGCGAGGCCGTGCTGCCCTCTGCCGGCGGCGTGAGGCACCGCAGGGGCATCATATCCCCGGTAAATTGTAAAATCTCAGCGCCGCCAACCTCCGGGCCGCCCAGGGCCTGGAGCCCGCGGTGTGGGCGGAGCCTGGCCGAAGGGCCCGCCTCCAGGAGGCGGGGCTTCCCCGCGGTGCTGGTTTTCCCGACGGGCTGCGGGAGGCGTGTCCACGTCTAGTAAGACCCACCCGGGCCCACGGAGGATGGCGAGGTGCGCCCAGCGCAGGTGAATGGGAAACATTTGGGAGAACCCGCCCCTTCCGGTCCGCTGCTGGAGGGCACGGCCCCTGCGACCTAATCTGACCGGTTCTCCTTTCCTTCTTCAGAAGGTCACTCGCTGGAACGGGGCGAGGCCAGCAGGGCATGTGAATGAAAACTTGGCTTAGGGTTAGGGTTTTGCCGTGGCCACCGCCTCTTTCTGAGAGAGGGGTCCCCCAGCAGCCAGAGCTGACCCCCTTTCTGGGGGCCACAGGCCTGCTCCCACGTGGCCCTTGCTAATACCGGCCCATGGGACATCTGATTCAGCCTTTCCTGGGAGGAAATGAATCTCCAAAGGGGCTTAAAGAAAACAATAAGCACACACCGGCTTAGCCACCGGCTAATGTTACAGCTCCGAGTACAAATGACAGCCCTCCAAGTTCACAGGAGCGGCCACCGTGCTCCGGGCGGGTGCACACAGAAGGGCCAGCACGGGCCTCGCAGCGGCTCTGCAGACCCGACTGGCCGGACAGCTGCTGGAACCTCTCCCCGGGGAGGATGGCATCTCCTGCAGACACTGCCCGGAGCAGGCCTGTCTCCATCCGTCCCTGGGCGTTGGTCACCATCAGCCCCGAGTCTAGAGGCGCCCACCGGGCGATGCCTGCTGTGGCCCAGGAGGCCCCGCTGGCCTGGGGGCTGCCGAGCAGCCTGGTTGGCACCGACCCTGAGCTCTGGGTCTTTCTTAGGGAAGCACCTGGCCAGTCTGAGCAGGAAGGAGGCCCCAGGTGGGAGATGCAGCCGGCTCCCGGCAGCCGCTCGGCCCTGCCCCGCCTGGTCCTGCCGAGCAGCTGCGGCACCTTCCGCAGACTCTGGAGGTCCCAGCGGCTGGGTGGGTGGCCGGCCTCGGGCGAAGGTGCCAACCTAAACAGGCCCCACCTGCCGGCTCCGAGGCCCTGTTTGCATAGAGAGGGCGAGTCCCAGCAGGAATATTTTTATCCCAAGGCTGGGAGGAGCAGGGCTTCCCTGGGGAGGCGCAGGGACCCCAGGGGTGGCCTGGTCTCGGCCACTGTCCCCGCCCCGGCCCGCGGGTCCTAGTGGAGCTGGATTAGTCCTGGCTCCAGTGGGGCCACTGAACACAGAGGAACCCACTGCAAGGAACCCAGCTTATGGCCAGTGTATGGCCCTCGGAATGAGGGCCGGGAAAGCTCCACCTGGGAACGAGCCAGGAAACGCCTCCGCTTCGCCAAGCTGCGTGTGAAGAGCTGCCGAAAGCCCCGTAAACCAGGGAGAAACGGCCAGCAGCCCCCCTGGCCCGAGCACCTTGATTAACGAGAACCCGGAATAACAGGTTTATTTTTAGACCAGCTTCTTGGGTAAAGAGGCAAATGAAAACAAGCCGGCAGAGGATATTTTAAAAAGCAGTTCCCAAGAAACGTCCACTCCGTGTCCACCAGCTCCTCACTGTGATGAAGGCCAGGCGGCCCAGGGCCGGCTCAGCAGAGGCGCCCGAACGCAGTGTCCGCCTCCTCGGCCCGAGGAGTGGCCCCCGGAGGGCCGGCAAGGCTGGCCGTGTCCCCCCACAACTTCCCCCAGGACGCCAGGCTCTCAACCAGCCAACCAGAAACCAAGTCGGCCGGTCCCACATGAGGCCGCCGCCCTGAGCACTTGAATCCACTGTGTCGTGTGGAGCTGGGCCAGGCCTGGCGTCCTGGGCTCTCGGCCCGTCCCTCGGGGCCCCTCTGCCCTCGCAGGCCCTGCCACCCTGGCTCCTGGCCTCCAGACACCACTCACATCTCGAGCGCATCTCTCCTGCACGCATCCCCCACCCGTACCAGCTTCTGCCCAGAGCACAGCGTCACTGTCACCTCAGTGAGGCCACCGCACGTCCCTGTGGGCTCACGGGACACTCAACAACCGTGCTGTTCTCCCTGCATGTCCATGTGTACGGCCTCTCAGTGGCCCGTGGGTCAGTGGGGCCTGGTCCTAACACCCTGGGGGCACACTCACCTGCTACAAGAGGCCAGAGAGCAGGAGCCCCCCGGGCGGCCTCGGTGGTCTGGAAGCCCACGCATCTCTCTCCCTTGCTGTTTAAAGCAACAAGGGCAACCCAAGCCTCCCGGACTCTCCCACTGCCTCAGGCACACCTGTTTGAAATGAGAGTAGCGTGTAGCCTGCCACGCCCCAGCGGTCACGGGAGGAGTTGTTGGGGTTGGGAAGGACGTGGTCGGGGGCATCTGGGGCGTGAGGCACCACGGCCACCTCCCTCCTCTGGCTGCTCCCCGCCTCAGTCTGTCGGGGGAAACGGCCAGCACGCGACAGCCTCTCGCCCTCATTCCACGGCGGATCCCGCGCAGCCGGCTGTCACCTGCTGGGGGCGTCGCGCCACGCCTGCCCGTTGGAAGCTGTGCCTGGAGGCCCTCCTTCCCGGCAGCACCTGTGCCAGCCGCTTGTGCGGCCGGCCTGTTTAGCACGTGGAGTGAAACTGTGATCATCACACAGTGAGCCCGCAAGCAAACTAGCATCAGCGCCCTGGTCTGAAATTAAACTTAATGCTGGTTTTGAGTGCTGAGTGGTTGTTGTTGTTTTTTTTTTAATGTACTTTTATTGATTTCAGAGGGAGAAACATCCATGAGAGAGAATCATGAATTGGCTGCCTCCTGCAGGCCCCACACTGGGGGTTGAGCCTGCAGCTGGGGCAGGTGCCCTGAGCGGAAATCGAACCGTGGCCTCCTGGTTTTCAGGTAGATGCTCAACCCCTGAGCATGCTGGCCGGGCTGAGCGGTATTCTCTACTGAGCAAAGAAAAACTAAGGATTTATTTTAATCAACTCCGAGAGCCCGGAGGTGGTCACATGGCGGGCCAGGCGCTCGCAGCCGTGCTATTCGCAGCCGTGCTGATCCGGGGCGAAGGGCCGCCTGGAGCCCACGCGGACCCCGTCCTCACAGCGCGCGCTCACCCGCGGGGCCGTCACAGCCACGCTGAGGGCCCTGCTTCCAGATCAGCGCCTGCTCCGGGAGTTCATAACCCGACTCACAAGGCAAGAAACGCAGGCGAGTGCCACAGTCGCAAAGCTGTCACTCAGCCTCTGAAACAATCTCTACAAACAGCAGTTAAAACACCTGAGCAACCCCCACGTGCGCAGTGTAAGCGGGAGAAACACGTCTTCTTTGAGGAAGTTTATTGTTACATTTTTGCAATAATAGATGAGGCACCACTATCTCCTGCTCCTCCAGCGTCTCAATACAAAAGACAATATTCAAGGGTGACAGTGAAATTAAGATAAAAAATTACAAAAGCCGCGGCTTCCGAGACAAGGACTAGTCTATGTGTAGAAAGTTGTAAATGGTTTAGTTCAGCCTCACAAACAGGAACTTCTGCTCCGGTCAGGCGCCTCCCAGGACTCAGAGCAGCGCCTGGCGCAGCGAGAAGCCCACAGGGCGAGGGGTGGCCGAGCTGGTCGGGGTCCTGGCCTCCGGGCCCTCCCGCCCCGCTCACCGTGGGCTAGAGGCAAAGTGCTCAGGGCCTGGGGGCAGGGGGCCTGGCTGGCCGCCTCTCCTGAGCCCCGATTCCCGGTCAGGGAGGACCAGCCCGCTCCTCACACCCGAGACCCGGCGCCCCGTCACCGAAGGCGCCCCGACCTCAGAACCGCCTGCTGAGCTGCCCTGTGCTCCTCCCCTCCAGGCACACGGCCGGTCCTGGGCCGCAGCCTCAGCTGGTGGAGAGCCGCAGGGGCAGCCCCCAAACGGCACCTTCTCACCAGAGCCGACCCTCAGCGCACGCACCAAGGACTTTCACGCTGTGCGTCTCCTCACCAAACACAGTGACAGGTGACTCAGGAGCAGGCGGCCTCCCTTCCCTCTGGGTCAGCCCCTGCCCCAGACCCACGGCTGCCGGGCCTGCTGACACGGAGCCGAGGGAGGCGCGAAGGGACCCAGGAGGGGCCCAGGGTGGCCTTGGGACAGGGGCCCGGGACGTGACGAGGCCCGTGAATTCTGCTGCCGGCTACCAGGGAGCGCTTTCCTTTTCTCTCCAGTGCTGGGCGAGCCCCACCCCCGAGGACCGCAGTGGAGGGACCCGCACGGGCAGTGAAGGGGGGCCTCCAGGGGGCCCGCAGCTCCCGCACCCCGAGCTGGGAGCACGTGTAGTGTGGAATCCTAGAGGCAGAGCCTGGACAGGACCCGATGCAGGCGGCCTGAGAAGGGACCGGCTGTGAGAGGCACTGGGGTGGCGGCCGTCTGCAGGACGCAGGTGGGTGCGGGGCCGGGGCTGCCTGAAGGCCAGTGTCTGCGGTGCACAGGCTGCGTGCTGGACACGGGCTGCGCTCACCCTGCGGCTCCCGAAGCTGCGGACAGGAAGCCGGGCTGCGCCACAGCGGCCGCCGCAGGCACGAGGCACGCAGAGGAGCAGACACCTGCAGGGGGGGGGTGTCTGCGGGGGAGGAGGTGGCAGGGCAGGGCGGTCGGGAGTAATGAGCACCGCCGAGCGCCGTGTGGAGGGACGAGCCCTGTCCATGCGACGGGCCAGGTGACAGCAGGAGGACAGCGCCCCCGGACATTAAGGCACGGCCGGCCGGAGCCCACCCCGCCCCCAAGGCTGGGCTCTGGGACGGGGCACAGGAGCTTTAAAAGGCAACGCGGTCCCTCTGGGCGGGCCCACCGGCCGTGTCTGCGCACTGGGCCGCCTACCGCGTAGGCGAGGCTCCGGGTTAGCGGCCGGGAGGCCTGCGGGTTAGAGGGAGAGCCGGGGCGGGCGGTCTGTGCGGCGGTAGAGACGCACACGCACGCGGACACACACCGGGACACGCGGGCGCGCGCACTGCTCGGAGCGGCCATGGCGTCCTGTGGAAAGCCGTGCTACTCGACGGCGGTCACCCCGGCTGCCCGGAGCTCAGTAGTGTACCTTCCCCGGATTCAGTAGCTCGTGGCGGCCCCCGCAGGTGCTGGCCGCGGGGAGGAGGCGGGCCGGGGCCTCACTGCAGCATGATGTCCTTGAGGTTCTCCTGCAGGATGGTGTCCTTGACGGCGTGGAAGACGAAGCGGATGTTCTCCGTGTCGATGGCCGTGGTGAAGTGGTGGAAGAGCGCCTTGCTGCGGTTGCGGCGCCGGCGGTCGAAGCACTGCACCAGGTAGCGCTGCACGTCCTCCAGCCGGTGCGGGTCGCCGCGGAAGTCGGGGAAGTGCTTGCTGATGCTGACGCTGCGCACCTTCTCCACCAGCAGGTCCATCTTGTTGAGGAAGAGGATGATGGACACGTTGACGAAGAGCTTGTTGTTGACGATGGTCTCGAAGATGTTCATGGACTCCAGCAGCCGGTTGGTGCGCCGGTCCTCCATGAGCACCTGGTCGTACTCGCTGGAGGACACCATGAACAGGATGGACGTGATCCCGTCGAAGCACTGGAACCACTTCTGGCGCTGGGACCGCTGGCCGCCCACGTCCACCATCTTAAAGGGGATCTTCTTGATCACGAAGTCGTGCTCCACCCCTTACTGTGGTGGCCTTCCTGGCCAGCACGGATGTCCTGCTTGCTGGG